GACGCGAAAACAATAATTCACCCTGTAAATAAACGAGCCCTGTTCTTGCTCCCAGATATTTACCAGAAGCAAGCACCTGTACACCTTTGCCGGGCCAATCTCGCGGTCTCGCGTATCACTCGCGTCAAGTTTGAGAGAATTTTCTTCCAAACTGTTGGCAAACGTTATCGATCGACCCGTTCGAGAAAGATTCATCGACGAGCCTTTCGCCAGATTAAGCCCCCCTCTATCTTTCGACTTTCCGTGTTTACCACGCTATTCGTATCGTTGAACGATCGATGGAATGTGCACAAAGGAGACAAGTCCTTGATCGAGAATTTTGATAACGAGACCTTCGAAGAACCGATAGGATCATCGAGCGCGGGGAGTAACGCGCTCCAACAATGGATAAACTTGAAATTACCGATGCCGGATTAAAAATAAAAGAGATTGTCATACGAGCGTGTATGACAGGCGTGTGTCTCGACACGAGGGAAATTCTCGGCCGTCTTCCGAATCTTTTGTTTCGAAGACCGGTTTGACGTAATTGAACGAGCACCCGGGGTTAAAATATTTCATCGTGGATGGCAAGTAGGTCAAACAACGCAAAAGTAAGCTGTTACATTCAACGAGCTACTCAAACCGGAGGGGGAATCAATTAGGACGCGAATGAAAAAGTTTGTAATTATTTCGGGATCGTTAAAGTGAACAATGAAAAAGATCGTAGCTCGAAAGGATATGTACAAATAATTTGTATATATTGAGAGATATTACAGGGATATTATTTCCATCAAGAAAGATATTAGATCAAGGTTGATATTGTCGTACGAAATGTCGTTCTTAATTCAATAATAGGACAATAATATCGCAATTAAATTCTGTCTTATCGTTAATTTCGAGGATTAGCAAAAATTTAAGAAATCTTATTTCAGTATAATTCGTATACGTCAATCGTGATACTTTGTTACTCGACCATTGTCGCATCGACGTTTATATTAATTTATAATTTAAATTGCACAAAGCAGGGAGGACCAAGGCCCAGTGGATGGGAATGAATCGAAAAGCCACTCCCGTGGCATGAATGGAACAGCTAATATCAAAGCATCGAATGGAGAATGTGTGCATTACCTAACGTGCATCCGGGCTTGCATGCACTTAGACCGAGGGTTGCTGGAATATTCGTAAATAAATGATTGGGTCGGCTTACAACTGGCTTCGATTCACTGTCGTCGTCTTTCCATGACCGTTTCCTAACCTAGACACGTTTGCGCGATCTTTAAAATCTTTCCTCGCTCCTTATTCCATATATTATTATAATATCAAAATCTTGCTTTTATATCAGTAACTAGGCTAGTGGCTTTTTGTTACAACTTTACAAGTCGAGGACCTCCCATTCACGTTGCTTTAACTTGCTATATCTTGTTTCCTCGAACTTAATAAATTGTTCATAACTTAACTTAATAAATCTTAATCGACTTTGCATGTAAACTTTTGCGTTTGTTTTAATCCCTAAAATCGATCCACCAAAGATTTCTCACAAATATGTCAGTCAACGTTTCTGTATGTTCACGCGTACGTAATTGAAAAGATATTTATTTACAATTTTCGACAAAGGAAAAAAAATCACTCGCATTTCTTAAACTAACCTTAATGGAACACTTTGAGAGATTCTCTATTAGAGTGAATTAGGCCATTATTCGTTACAATCGAAAGTTTTATCGATCGATATTGTTGGTCAATATATATATATATATATATATATATATATATATATATATATATATATATTA